GCCCCCGGGGGCCGAAGGGGCGCGCAAAGAGTTGGGTACAGGCCGGGATGCCAGGCCCGTCCCTCCTTCACATGGAGCCCAGGCCGGGTGGTGGGCGCGCGGGCCGTCTCGGGAGGCTGGAGCAGCTCGCCGCCCGTCGGTGCTTCTCTCTGCCGCGGCCCCGAGGCCCGCGGGAAGCTGGGCAGGAAAGTAGGAAGCCGCGGGCCAGGCGCCGCCAGAGGCCAGAGAAGAGGTGGGAGTGGCGATCCTTCGGCTGAGGATGCCGGGCCTCCGAGTCGTCGTCCTCGTCGCCGCCGCCGGCACCGCGCGAGTCGCGCGACCCCCGAATGCCGCACCCAGCGACCACACCACCCTCACCAGGCACTGCCGCTGAGGCAGTCCGGCCGCCACTACACAGGGACCCGTGACGTCGGGCGTAGCGCGGCGTACGTCACGGCCGGTTCGCTCGTACCCGTTCAGCCCTCCAGACGAAGCAACCCGCCGCGGGCGCGCGCTCTGCCCGGAACCTCGAGCGGAGGCCAACAGTAGCGTACTTGCGCCTGCGCAGTGCCCAGCTAAGCCCTCCCTCCCCTTTCCCCAGCCCGCGGGGCGGGGCCGGGATTCCCGGGTTGGCTTCGCCCCCAGCTCCCAGCAGCCTTTCCTGCTGCAGAGCGCGGCGTGCACGTTTGCGCACGTCGGTCTCACAGCGTCCGCGGGATTTGCCTGTGCCCGGGATTTGTCTGTGCCCGGGCTTTGGAGCAAATCCCGAGAGCGTCTGCGCGTAGGCTGCGGGTCTGGAGGGGAGCCGTGGAGCAACGAGAGCCTGCGACCTACTCTAGTCCAGGGCAAGTCGTTCGCAGGCGAAAGCCATCTGCCCCTTACTTTGGGCATCTCGTTTCAGAATTTTATCTCAAAGTATTTTAAAAGTTATTGTCCGCTTGTCACCTAACCGTAAACCACCCCGCAGGAGAGCGGCTTTCTAAGTTGTACAGGGGTTCTCTGCTTAGTTTTCATCACCACTCTGCATGATAACAGATGAGACCTCGGCCCAGACAGAGAAGCGGTATCCACCGACGGAGCTACTGGCCAGGCCTAAAACCCCAATATTGCCCTGGCGTTGTAAGCCCTCTGTGATGCGACTAACCTGCTGCATTCCATATTTTCACCGCATGCTTCTCTGATCCAAAAAGCACCGTTTCCTCCTCCAGATCTGCTTTCCTAAAATACCCTTTACAGCTTGCAGTAGCCTTCTTTCCCTCCTTAAGTGTCTACTTGGTTTCTCAATACATTGTGGATCCCACCCCCTTCCTGCCTATTCCAGACAACATTTCCCCTCCAGCAGCTGAAATGAGAGCGATGGGAGTGGCACTCACTGTGCCGGGTGGTAAGCAGCTACAACAACTCGGCCAGAGCGGGTCCAAAGAGCTGGAGCTGGCGTCTATAAGGCAGGGACTGAGGGAGAGGGTATTATGTAATGTCAAAATAGCTGAGATTTTTTTTTAATTAATTAATTTATTTATTTATTTATTTATTAATTAATTATAGGCAAGGCAACCCTTGGCTGACCTCACAGATTGCAAGGACCTTGTCAGCTTGCAATCCCTTATTTTTTATACCTACAGCACCTGGTCTTCCTCCGTGGTCTCCCGTCAAGTACTAACCAAGCCCAACCCTGCTTAGCTGCCGAGGTCAGACTGGATCGTCCATCCTGTAATTTTTATTACAGACCCATTAGCAGAAGTGTGAAAGACGCAGAAACAGATATTCATTGACAAGTGTCATAATGAAAGCCTAAATGACTATCTGAGCTGATGAATAGTGGTTCGGCTGCTCTACAGAGAATTAGGCAGCCAACACATAGAAGGGCAGATTGAAGGATCTCAGAAACAGAGCTAAATAAATCACTTTGCCAAGGATGTGGAGCACGGCGCAAGGAATGCAGTTAGCATTAATATGATGGCTAGATGGAGGGCCAGGGGAGGGAGGGAGCAATTGGGATTGTTTTATGAACTATATAAATGTCTAACCAATGTACTGTATACTTGAAACTAAATAAATTTTTAAAAATCACTTTGAGGGTAGGATTTATGTCAGACTTCTAACTCCATTATCCACAGTTCCTGGCCTGACTCACATAGCAGGAATTCAATAATTACTTGTTTACTAAGTAATCTAAAGATGGATTTTTCCTCATGCCTCTTCTCACTCCTTCCCTCACCTACCACACCTGGGGACTTCATTTACTACTGGTTCCTTAGAAACACCCTACATGTATATTACTATTCTCTTTTTTTTCTCTTCATTCCCTTTTCACATTGGTGACTTTCCTCTTGTTTAGACGTTAAGACTCCAGCATCATTGGTTAGTTTCTTATGCATGATTACAAGTTAATGATCTTGGGATTTTTTTTTTTTTCTTGATGGAACTTTCATTCAACAAATATTTTTTGCCTTCCTGCTCTGTGCCTGGGATTGCAGTGATAAAGTAGTAGTCCCCATTATGTCCCAGGAACTCAGAATCTTGTGAAGAGAGCAGACTGGTAAATGAATTATTATAATACCTAGTGACTTGTCCTGTAGGGATGTGTATGAAGTACCACAGCAGCAGAGAGGAAGATGTCACAGGTATGTCTGGGAAAAGGGAAGACTTCAGAGAGGCATGCTGTGTTAGTTTTCTGTTGCTGCATAACAAACTACCACAGACTTAGTGGCTTAAAAAAACACTTATTTGTTAGCTTGCCATTCTATAGATCAGAAGTTTGCATGGCATCATGACCGGGTTCTCTATTCGGTATCACAAAGCTGAAATCAAGATGTCAGCTGGGCTAAGTTCTCGGGTGGAGGCCCTGGGACGATCTGCTTCCAGCCTTATTCTTGTTGCCTAATTCCGAGAACAAGGCTGAAATCAAGATGTCAGCTGGGCTAAGTTCTCAGGTGGAGGCCCTGGGACGGATCTGCTTCCAGCCTTATTCTTGTTGCCTAATTCCATCCCTTGTGGTTGTAGGGTTGAGGTCTCCATTGTCCCCAGGGCTTGCTGTCGACCTCTACAGCCCACCATCCTCAAACCAGCAACAGAATTTCTTGCACATCAGATCCCCCTCACATATTGAATCTCTGACTTTCTCTTTTGCTACCAGCATAGAAAACTCTGCTTTTAAAGAGTTTTCGTGATTTCAGACCCAGATAATCTGGTCTTAAAAGTCAACTGTGTTGTACAATGTAATTACAGGAGTACAAGTCATTATATTTACACAGGCTGTGTCCCCTAGTGGGCAAGGATATCCAGGGACATAGGAGAATCCTGCCTACCACATGTGGTGAGCTGAAACTTGAATCAGAGGTAATTATTTGCTGGAATAATAAGGATGGAGGAGTGGGCATTCCAGGCAGAGGAATTAAGTGTGCACAAGCTTGGAAGTGCGAGAGAACATTCCCTGTCCTGGGAATAGCAAGACTTGCTGGCCTCAGTGTTAGGAGAGATACAGACAGGGAGTAAAGCCAGAGAAGCAACCAGATTAGGAAGGAAGGGTATTGGAGCAGGCTAAAGAGCTTGGTTAAGAGATGAAGGCCTAAACCACCGTAGTGGCCATGAAACTGAAATAAGGAGTGTCGTTTGGGATGCATTCAGCTCCAAGGAACAAGATACTTGGCCCCAAACAAGTTAAACAGTGATGTTTATTTTCTCACATACATAGGTCCAGAGTTGATTAGGGTTGTGAATTATCATATCTGCAGGCAGAAGATGGCTGCCTCAGCTCCAAACACTATGGCATCCCACACAGAAAAGAGGGGAAGGATTCATTCATTCTCATTCATATTCTGTGTGTGTGTGTGTTTCACTCACTCTCAAACTTAATTTTAGAATAATTCTAGATTTACAGAAAAATTGAGACAGTAGTACAGAGTTCCCATATACCTCACAGCTATTATTAACATATTAGTATGGTACATTTGTCACAGGGAACCAATACTGATACACTATCATTAACTAAAGTCCATCATTTATTCAGATTCCCTTAGTTTTCACCTAACGTCCATTTTCTGTTTCAAAATCTCATCCATGATACCATATTACATTGAGTCATCATTTCTCCTTAGGCTTCTCTGGCTATAACATCCCTTGTTTTGGATGACCTTGACAGTTCTGAGGAGTACAGTCAAGTATGTGGTAGAATATGCTTCAGTTGTGGTTTGTGTGCTGTTTTTCACATGATTAGACTAGGGTTATGGGTTTAGGGGATGCAGATAATAGAGGTTAAGTACCATTCAGCAGTACAGTCCATCGACATGATTTAGGACTGTAGAGATTGACCCTGATTGCCTGTTTGAGATATCATTTCTCAGGTTTCTCCACTTCTTCCCCGCTTCCCATACTGTTCTCTTTACAAAAAAGTCCCTTTGTTCACACCCAAAGAGTGGAGAATTATGCGCCACTTCCTAGAATGAAAAGTGTCCACATAAATTAGGCAATCATTGATTTAAATTAATATGGAATCACAGATATTTATTTTATACTTTGGGTTATAATCGAATACTACATTATTTATACTTTTGCTCAAATTGTTCCAGGTTTGGCCATAGGTACATTTTTCTATTGGTACCTGAAACTCTTTGGCATACCCTATCATAGTGGGGTGTTTTGTTTTGTTTTGTTGAGCACTTCCTGACATTCTTGCACTACTAGATGTGCTAGACTCATCTCGAATATTTCCTGCCCCAGTCCTAGAATCAGCCATTTCTCCAAAGAGCCCTTTTATTGGAGAATGACATTAGAAACCAAGATCTGAGGTTAGATATGCTCCGGATTCTCTTTTTAAAAGAACAATCTGATGTCATCCCCCCAGCAGACTGCCCCTTTTGTTTTTGCAGCAAAGTCTGTTAATGGTGCCCCCAAGTTCATGTTTTCTATAGTAATCAAATTTTAGCTGAGCACATAGCTCCGCACCCCCCACCCCGCCACATATAGTTCATTTCCCAGCATCCCTTACAACTAAATATGGCCATGTGACTAAGTCCTGGCAAAAGAGAAATCTATGGAAGTATCCATTCAGGAATCTTCCTGAGAGACCCTTCCTCAAGCAACTACTCTTTTACCCCTCTGTCTTCGTCCCTTTCTCTATCCTGAAATACCTACAGGCTATTTTGGAGAGTGAGGACAATGGGCTACACACAGGAATAGTGGAGCTGGAAGCGGAAACCCCTTCCCAGTCTGGACCACAGGGCTCCATACTTCACATGGGAGAGAAGTAAATGTCTGTCACCAGTAGCTGAACCTACTCCTAAAAGCATCTCATTGGCTGGAGCTGGTGCATGTGCCTGTACCTGCAAAGGAGTCAGCATTCCCATAATGGGTAGAGCCTACATGAGATTCGTCCCTGGGCACATTGCCAGACCATGTCTGGACATAAACAAGTTAGGTAACAAGGGATCTAAGGGATGGATGGTTGCATAGTGGCCAATGGTGTCTACCCTGAGAAGCACATGGAGAGTCAGGAAGTAGAGAACCAGAGCAAGACACTTAGGCAGACAGTGTGCCATATAAATGATCTTTGGCAAGTCTATTATTATCATCATCATCATCATCATTATCTTCATCCCCAGGGCAGTTGGGTGGAAACTTATTTTGCTGTTTCAAAAACCAAAACATACTAAGGTAAATCTTCTGATAAAAAGTCCACAGTGTTTCCATAACCAAAGAAAAGTCATTTCTGGGATTTCTGCTGTTTAGAATTGTCTGAGAAGTGTTCTGAGTGTGGAAAGAGGCCACTGACAAGATTTCTTGAATTATCTTGAATTTTCTATGATCTTGATCATCTCTAATTCTCTTATCAGTAGCTAATATATTTATGTTTGTTACATATTTTACATTATATTAAACATCTTAATAATAGAAAATGTGGGAAACACAAGGAAAAAACCTCCCACCCCTTCTCTTTTTCCACCCAGTCTTTTCTGTGTGCATAAATCTCTGTTGTGCTGGTGTTTTTATTTCGGATACATTTTCAGGGAATTTTTAGGTAGTTGTGATCATGCTATACACACAATTCTGTGTCCTACCTTTTTCACTTACACAGCATTAAGTAGTTTTACTTTATTTTCCCTTTCACTTACAAATTTTAATATTTGGTATGTATACTTAAAATTTTAACTTCGTTCTAATTTTTTAATGAAAGATGTTCATAAAACAGATATAACGACAGCTTCTTGGCTGCTGGGGAATGCAATAGAGACAGATTTCTTTTTGCCCTTTGTGTTTGAGGGAAAATGAGAATGACCACGTGAGATAGCAATGCTAACTTAAATCTGAGAAGTGAAACTCATGCAGGGCACGACTGTCCCTTTTCCCTTCCCTTAGCGTTTGTCCCAGCTTCAGCTAATTTTGCTCACTTTCATTATACAATGCAAAAGGAATATTATGGGTCACCACTGGGGAAGAACTTCCTATTTTGGAAAGGGATTGAAATGTGCTTAAATCATATGAGTTATCTAAGTTAGTGCATTCTAAGGCTTTTTGTAAAAGATATGCTTTTAAAACATCAAATTGTTAACAATAATAACCTGTTTTTTTAGAAATTGGCTGTTTGCTTGAGGCCTCATGGTTGTTTTCACCACTGCAACATTCCCTTGATGGTCTGCTCCTCACCTCTGACTTCTGTATCTTGACAGCAAAAGGAGGATTATCTGTTTCTTCTTTTTCTCCTGTTTATATTATCTTCTTAATCTCTTCCTGTTCCTCTTTTTCCTTCTCTCTCTGCTCTTCTCCACTCTCTTTAATTTACCATGTTTTATGATTTTTCACAAACATCCTGAGAAGTAGGTCAGCAGAATTATTACTCTCATTTGCATATGAGTAAAGTGGCAGAGAAAGGTTGGGTGTCTGTCAAAAGGCCCCTGAGACACCTAGTGGAGCAACCCTGAAAGGAGTCCATCTGTCTGGCCCTCTGTAGTGCCTGAAGTCTCAGGGTCCCTCCTCTATTGCTTAAGGCCCCAGGGATCCACTCCCTGTCTTGCCCCTTCAGCTGCCCCTCCTAGGACCTGGGGCTCTCCACTCCAGGTTCACCCTTGCCTTTCTTGACATCACTGGCTTCCTTCACTCCTAGCCCTCCCAGGCCCCTCTAGAACTGGTTTGCAGGACCCAAAACCCTCTCAGTACACCATCAAGGGGCTGATACCAGCAGGGAGGAGTGAAGAGTTAAATCATTTTCATCCTTATGGCTCATCCTATCACTCAACCTGGTGTGATGTAGTGCCTTCCACAGCTGGTTCTTACAAGTTAAGTCTCAAGGGTTGGTGTCTTTTTTTCATCATAGGCCAGCCTGGCTGAAGCTGAGTGGGACATGCTTCAGTCTCTTGTGAAGGAGCAATG